TATTAAAAGAGAAATTTTATTGTATTTTTAATATTTTATAAATATGAGAATATCATAAATGTGATTTTTCTCAAAATGTATAAATGTGTTTAATATAATAAAATGTTGATGACTTCAAAAGTTTCAAATCTTTTAGATTAATTTATTTCCAAAGTATATTTATATGTTTTTGGTCATGTCTTTAAGAAAATAGTTTTTGGTCGATGTCCCACTAACCAAAAATTGGTCAAGTTTAGCCACATAAGTTTCACATTATAAATTCTAGTTGGACGAAAATGTCTTTCTTCTAATAACATCATATTTTCTACCTTGGTCTATCTTTTTTGACCTAGGCTTTGATACCAATTGTTGGGTTCTCCAAACCCAATCCAATTCCTCTAATAGTATAATATTGTCTGTTTTCGGCTAAGTGGCGCAACCCGCACGGATTTGATTTTGGACTCCTTCCCAAAAGATCTCATAGTTAGAATTGCACTTAACTTATACATTAGACAATTATTTTCTAATCTTGCCATGTGTGATGTTTGTTTGTTTCCCATACATAGACTATAGATTTAAATAATAAAGAAAAATCTGACGAAGTAACTACTCTTTCTAAATGCACATAATCGTTCACGGGGCTCATATATAGAAAAATTCTCAAATTACATGATCTAGTATCCACTTTCTTTTGTCTTAGATATAGAATGGAGTAGATACTCTTTTTGGCAGGATAATTGGAATATTACATGATGACTTTTGGAATTCACAAGTGCAGTCCACACTGTTGTCGAGTAGCTGCATATAAAGAACATATGGTCCCTTGTTTCTATGTGATTTTGACATAAGACACAAGTGGACATTGAACATGTATTCCAGCTGAGAAGACGTTTCCTCTTTAAAAAAGTCGATTTTTCATCGCAAGGCGCTAGTATAAAAGGAGTATTTTGGTGTCGCATGAGTGAACCATATACTCCCTTGTATCACACAACTTTTTTCGATGTAGTCCGAATGTGGTTCCAAGTGTCAAAAAAAAAAGAATCCCCCTTACCTACCTCGCCACTGTTGTTCAAGTGCATTCTCTATTAAGTTCAAATTTTCGACCAGTGTCTTCTTCTTCTCCGAGATCTTCATGCCTCGGGGAAGGACTCCTTCCAGTCCCCAAATCTATGACGCCTCTAGGACTAGTCATGTGCATTAGCATTAGGCATCCGAGTGTAGACCAGTTATCATACCAGAATGAGATTAAGGCCCCATTCCTTGCTTCACTCTTGCAAACGTTTTTGCCACTTCCCTATATTCGCCATATCCACGACCCCGAACTCGTATTTTCCTGAATAGACCAGAAGGATTCTCTCTTTAGCAAATAAGTTGTAACCAACTTTACCCACAGTGAAGAGCCATGAGAGACTACTCTCCATATCAGTTTCAGACAAGATACATCATTCGCTGGCTCTCATGAAGAGGGAGCATTGTTCCAATGTAGACCAAGAAGATTGAAGTAACAAAATTCATCGATCACCATAACACAAGAATGAATCACCGGAAGACGAAAAGAAGCTTCGCATAAAAGAGATTGTATTAATTAATATAAAAAAATTGGTTCAAGAAAATAACAAATAGTGATTATTCGATTTTGCGTACTTCTATATACAACAACGCCTATGAAATTGTAAAAAACAACAGAACTTAAAATCTCACAGCTTGAGGCTCCTCTGCTTCTCCAGCTTTCAAAAAAGCTGAAACATTAAACATAATTAGCTTCTCTATCTTTCTCATTGTTTTGCATCTATGGATTCTTAGTTTACTTACCTCTCTTCTTAACCTTGTTCCTAAAACCTCTCTTCCTGCTGAATGCAGTTTCCTGAATATTTCATATACCATAAGACAAGAATGAATCATCAGAAGAAATATGCTAATGTTCATGAGAAAATAATATTGCGGATTCTAGTACGGAAGATAAAACTGAATTGAGATCATGGGAGTTTCATAGAATTTATACCACTGGGTGGCCCATCTTCACTGCTTCACGGATTGCTTCTACTAAATCACGGTTAGCCTCGGTGTATAGACTGGTCACTGTTCCATATTGCCCAGCTCTAGCTGTTCGGCCTATCCTGTGAAGGAAATCAACTGCAGAACTAGCAAAATCCGCCTGCAATCACCCCCGAGAATGTTCACTATGGTTTTAGAAAGCCAAGCACTTTGAAGAGGGTGTTGGTTGAAATTAGAAAAGAAACCTGAATAACGTGTGAGACATTAGGAACATCAACTCCCCGGGCGGCGGCATCGGTGCAAACAAAGACACCGCCGGTTTCTCTGAAATCAGCTAATATATTAGCACGTTCGTCTAGCTTGTGGTTCTTGTGATAACGATAACACTGAATACTAGCTTTTTCCAATATATCAGCCACTGCTTCAACAGCTTCGACAGTGTTTGCAAACACCATCGTCCTCTCTGTGTTGGTGTTGTTATTGTTTTTTACAGCCTCTATAAGAGCATCAACTTGTGAGTCTACTGTGACTTCAACCCATTTTTGCTTTAGTCTGCAACATAGCAAAGACAATAACAAAATCTGAGTTTGAGTGGCTTACAAAAAAATTATACTTAATTGATCAAGAGAATCAGATTGCCAATGTTTCTTATGATATCAAAGCAATGGCTTCCAACCAAGAGCTTATAATCATTTTCTATTCCCAGTTAGACCTCTATATATTCAAAGGGGTGAGTGATGCACAGTACTTCAACGAAGATAAAAGAGAGAAGTTTTCACCTCGGACTGTTTCGGTGAAGAAAGTTTCCACTAACCCAAATAGCATCTTGAAACATATGTTTCAAAATACCTCCAGCAGTCTTCTTCCCATTAACTGGAAGTGTGGCTGCAATGAAGATATACTGCTTGCTACGGCTATAGATCTTTCTCACTCTCCTCCAGCCCTTTTTGGTGTCTGACCCAGCTTCAGCTTCAACACTAGGCATATGTGCTGTATCATCAATATATTCCTCTTCCTCTTCTTCTTCCTCTTCCTCGGAAATAGATCCATCATCGAATTCAGCATCATCCTCATTTTCTAGATCAATTTGGGGTACAGAGGCATCAATCTCCATTGGTTTGCCAATGTTGGATGTAGCCAACCGAGACACTTGCTTCTCATCGAAACGCATCATATTAATCAGACGGATAATCTGATTCTGGAAGCTTCCGCACAGAAGCATATCAGCTTCATCAAAGACCTGCAAGTGATCCAAACATTCAAAAAGAGATCTACAATTCCAAAATTGCTCAGAACACAAAACAACACAACTCTCAACAAGAAAACCATACCACATATTTGACACATCGCAGAAATTCCAGACGCCTATTTCTTTTCGGCTCAATATTATTCAGAAGAGCAGCAGGTGTCGAGACAATTATATCAGGCAGTCTATCTGGCCAACCCTGCAGCAAATACAACTTCCATATTCAGCTATATTCAAAACACTTACAAAGGAACACAGCTCTTCTGAATAGGTATTAGGTATTACCTGGGCTCCGCAAACAGCTTCTACTCTAAGAAGTGGATTACCATCTTCACCAACAAGACCATTAACCATCCTAACCACTTGCTCACACAGCATCACATTTGGACACAGGATAAGAGAGAGATTCTTAAGCGGAAACGGCCTTTCCTCTCCATTCATACCCTCGGAATCAAGAGCGGTGTTCGTTAATCGATCAATTATTGGAGCAAGATATCCATGTGTTTTACCACTACCAGTTTCTGCTGCAACAATCACATCTTTCCCGGACAATATAGACGGTATGCAAACAGCCTAACAAGTAAGAATCAGATTCAAAACAAACATTTCGGAACCAAAAACGAAAAAAGATTGCCTTTGTGAACTTAGTAGTAAAAAAGGTTCCTTTTTTTTCCTTCCACTACAGAAAAACAGGAACTTTAACTTATCATTTCACAATCAACAAATGCTTCTCTAAGTTTTAAATTTGATTTCACTAAATTTGAAAACTTACCTGAGTAAGAGATGGTCTATCGAACCCAGAATCTCGAAGAGCTATAGAGACCTTATCTGATAACCCAAGAGACTTCCAAGAAACGGTATTGTCAGCAAAAAACGTATCATTACCCTTTTTCTCTACTTCTGCTTCAGTAGCAGACGCAAACCCACGAACCCATTTCGTATCAGATCGATTGAGAGATCTTAAACGGAAAGAAACAGATGAACCATAAGCGAGAGCAAACGAGACCTTGAACCTCTGAGATAAAAGCTTCGACGGCGCTGAAGATGAGACTCCACACAAATGAAGCACAGAGACAGAGCGTGAGAGAATCATCGGATTTCACAAATCAAAGTTCATGAAGAAAAAAAAAGCAATCAGATTTTATCACGGCGGATAAGATTTGGAGAAAACCTAATCCAAAGGAGGTTTTAGGGTTTAAGCAAAATGAGATTTCAGACAAGAAAGAAGAAACCATATGTTTCAGTCTCTTCATTAGCTTCACTGAGGAAGGAAACGACGACGTATAATAGTTTGCTGAGGAAGGAAACGACGACGTATAGGCTTTGTTAAGTGACTTGAGTTGTTTCTTTGTCCCACATCGTCTAAAGTTAAGATAAGTTGTGTTGTTTATATATCATCAGAGATTATCATTGGTCACGACCTTACTTGAACAGGATCTGTTCTATAGGCTCGTACCTCTGTTTCCTTGATTTCTAAGGAGACAGGCCCTTAAACCTGGTTGATGAATCAAAGCCGTGTGACCTGAGTGTGATTGACGGCGGTTCGTCTCTTTGGAGCCCCTCTTCTGTAGAGGATCGCTACCTGGTTAGGTCTTCCTATCTGGGGTGGTCGCACGGTTGTCTGACAGGCTATCTTTTTTTTTGACAGTTTTTTTCCGTAAGTGTGTTCCGATTCTGGTATAGAGCTATATTCGAACAGTTACAAAGAAACCTCTGTCCCACACCGACTAAAGTAAGATAAGTTGTGTTGTTTATATATTGGTAGAGATCACAAGTGGGCACGACCTTACTTGAACAGGATCTGTGTTCTACAGGCTCGTATCTCTGTATCCTTGGTTTATAAGGAGACAGGACCTAAAACCTGGTTGATGAATCATATGACCGTGCGATCTGAGTGTGATTGACGGGGTTAGAGGTTCTTTAGGGTCTCTGTGATCTTAGATCTAAGTCTGATTGACGTAAGTCTGATTGACGTAAGTCTGATCGACGAATCGAGCAAGTTTAGAATCTCTTCGCTGTCGATGGTCGCCACCCGGTTAGGTCTTCCTCTCCGGGGTGGGTCGCGCGGTTGTCTGACAGGTTAACTTTTTTTAGTCACCTCAAATATCTTAGGTTTCTCCTAAATTTTTAGAGTATTATTGCTTCTGATTCGTTTTGGTAAACGAGCCTTCTCGGGGTTTCTTGTTAGCCAGAGAAAGGAACAAGATTAATGCTTTGATTGATTCTAATATTGTATTTTCTTGCAAAGACACACAAGTTAACAATTTGGATTTGGTACTGATTAGTTATTACCAAACCTTCTAGCATAAAAAGTTTTATTGATCTTTGAGTTAATTAGTTCAATTTAAACACAACTCTAATGTATAAAAAACAAAATGATTCCACAATGTTGTTGTATAATATCAAAACTTCTTCCCTTGAGCCAGGTTCACTCGAATCGCCCGGCCCTCAAGCTCAAATCCGTCAAGCGATTCAAGCGCGGTTTCCATTTCCGCTTTGGAAGAGTAACATACAAAGCCATAACCCCGCGATCTTCCGGTATCTCCATCATACACAACTCTAGCTCCAACCACATCTCCACACTCTCTAAACGCTTCAGCTAATGACTCGGAAGTAACAGTCCACGACAAGTTACCAACAAACAGTTTATGCTCTGTTTCTGGATACAGAGGTTCTTTATTAGGCTTTGGTTTGTCAGCAAAGTTCACTTTCAAAGCCCGACCAAGATACTCCTGAGAAATACCAATCAAAAAAACATCAACCAAAATGTGTTTTTACCCTTTTGTGTTTTCTAATAAGGCTACAAGAGACTTACAGTTCCATCGAGGTTATCGATGATGATGTTGCAATCTTCGACATTGCTCATGGTTACAAAGGCGAATCCACGACTCTGTCCTGTGTCTCTGTTGTAAAGAACCTCAACGAGCTCAGGGTTAGCGAAATCTTGAATGATTTGAGCCAGAGTTGCACTGTCAACATTGTAAGGCAAGTTACCAAAGTAAAGCTTAGTGTTAATGGCTGCAGGAGGATCAAGATCAAAAGTTGTATCCTCCTCCTCCTTCTCTTTCTCTTCTAATTTGACGGTGATGGTCTCTGGCAAGACTCTGAAACGTCGTGAGCCGCTGCGTGAGGAGATCAAGAAAGGTTTTAGAGGTGAAAAGCTGAATTTGAGAAGTGTTTGGTTAGATGATTTGCTGCAGCCATGAAGAAGGTTTGGTTGATGATTGAGTTTGAAGCACGAGAGTGGTACTGTTGAAGCTGCCATTTCTCTCTGGACAGAGAGACAGAGAGATTGGCCTAAGACAGACGATTCTGCCCACAAAAAGATTTCGGATAAGGCCAAAAGAGTGATTGGCCTATCGGCGGCTATCGCAATCTTTAGAATCAAGTGTTTCTGTGACTTGATAGGGGGTTTATTCCGGTTTAGTTATTTCGGTTTGGTTATTTCGGTTTGGTCTGGATTTCTTTGGTTTCTGGTTTCAGAAAATATTTCAGAATAAATTGAGATTGGTAGTTGAAAAAAAAAAAAAAAATGACATTGGTATTGAGATTCCTACGTCATAAGTAGAAAGAAATAAAAATCAAATATTTTCTTATAAGAGTCTAAAAACCATTGGCTGGATTCGGTTGAATTTCTTTTCAGCTTTCTTTATTTCAAGGAAATCTAAAAACTAAATTTGTTCGGTTCAATTTTTGGTTTGGTATGGGTTTGATTCAAATGCCCATCATTGTTGGTTTACTTAGCTTTTCTTTGTTATATATTAGCCAAAAAAAAGAATTTATATATATATATATATATATATATATATATATATATATATATATATATATATATAAAATGTAAATTCAGTTTGATTTTTCATTCAAAGAAATACAATTTTTGAGAAAGTCTACTTTCTCTGTATAAGAAAATAACTCAATAACCAATAAAATTGGTTATTTTCTGAAATAAACTTCCCATAAATGCATGAAAGGATGTGTACCTACCAATGATCAATCCAACTCAATGCAATTCTTACAACCATTTATACCTCACATACATCTAAATCAAATGTTTTTGGACTCATTTAACTAGTGTTTTTTTGAATTTTATTCCAAGAATTTGTGTAAACCATTAATGGCTTAAGACAATAAATTGTAAACATATGTTTTTTACAATCTTTTTTTTCCATTGATTGCTTCACATGGAAAACATATATACATTGACAGGACAAAAAAAAGGGACTTAGTTCTTAATCTCTGCAGAGTTTTTTTTTTTTTACATCTTAATCTATAAAATTTCATCTCCTATGTAAATAACCAGAGAGGAACATAAGAGAAGAGTTTATTCAATAATGTTTATCTCTCTTTCTTCTTCAGATTCCATCTTCTGATTGATCTCACACAGAGACTATGTTTCTTGTCCCTCACGTAAAAACCAAACATCAACTCGTAGCTTCAGAGATGCTCTGCAATGATGGCCTCCATGTTTTTGATCTCGATGAAGCTGAATTCGTTAACACTGAACGTTGCTTCTCATCTTTCGTTTCCTATACAAAAAAAAAAAACACAAACCCCAATTAATAATCCTATTTTTATATAAATTGTTACATAAAAGCTTACTTTAAACCAACCCCATATCTAATTACTTTAATAAATCGAGTAAAACTTGATTCTTTAAGCTAAACCAATATCTTAAATTCTAAGTAAATATTCCGTACCAGATTCTGATTCTTGTCGGAATCTTCATCAATCTTCTTCTCCGGCGATGGGTTCTTCTTCTCCTTACTCGTTTCACTTTGGTGTTTCTTTGTTTTCGCATACTTCTTGGCTCTTAAAACCTTCATAACCTCTGAAAACAAATCAAACACTAATTTAATCAGAAACCCATTATAAAAACACAAAAAAAAAAAAGAGTTATAAAAATACAAAAACAAACCTTGTGAAGTTATAAGACGATAAGCATGACCAAGTACAAGATTCTCCGTTGGTCTGAGAAGTTTCACGCGCGTGAACCTCACAACCCTTCTCTCGCTCTTGTCATCTGTGGTCGTCGTTGTCGTTGTCGTCGCCGGAATATTCTTCTCTGGTAAAGGAATAATAAGAGAAACGTAGTGACCAGGATACATACGCATGATTTCACTAACGGATATAGGACCGTAATATCTATCGATCTTGCCGTCAGGATGTTGTAGAACCAAAGCCGCCGCATCAACCGCTTGACAATTTCCCATCTCTTACACACAAACAAAAAAATCTCTGTTCTTCAAAAAAAAATGTTATGATTAAAGAAAAAAACAGAGAGTAGAATGAGAGAGTTGTGTGAAGGAAAGAGGAAGAGAGAAGAAAAGAGTCTCTTTCGGGACAGCGTGAAGAGTTAGGTCCACCACACTGGCTTTGCTTATAAAACATGTGAAACCCCAAAAAATGTTATTATTTAATTTTTGGTTACTTTTGTGATTATTTAATTGGACTGTCATTTTGGGAGTTAATTAATGATAAGAATAATATTATTATTAAAGATTTGTAACCATATTGTTGCAGATTTGACTGTGGTTTGCCTGGGACATCTCTGACGTTTACTTTATTTAATTTTTGTTATTTTTGGAGTTTTGAATTTAATGGAATAGAGTAATAGGATGGTCGGAGAAATTAAATAGTTGATTTGAACGGGTGGGTGCCGGCACCGGAGATCAGGGACCGATGATTTTGACATTGTTTTTGTTCTTACTGTTTAAAATAATTTAAGTTGTTGCATTTATTTTCTTACTCGTTTTAGATCATGTGTATAGCCAATAAACCATAGTTTTTAGCAGATAATTATTGAATGTTGTAGTGTTTGACTTTTATTTAGGACTTGATTATACTACACTACTACAAAGAATAACTTACCGTTCCAAAGTTAGTAAGTTTCTTTTTGTGTGATCAAACAAAAAAAAACAGTTACATAAATTGCACTTTCTAAACAAAATGTAAGGGGTCTTCTTTTTTTTTTTGTAAAAATAAGGTATCTTCTTTTGTTTAATTTATAATTTTATATATTTGTAACGTTTCGATAAAATATAAGTTTGAAACGGCAGCTGTTCAAACTAATATTTTTCTCTAGTTGTTTTTCACTTGTAACGTTCCACTTTTTTTGACGATAGGTAACTATTACTCACTCTGTTTTATTATATAGGATGTTTTTGAGATTTTTTTTGTTTTATTGTATAGGATGTTTTACAACTTTCTATGCCATTTTTAGATATATTTGATATTCTATGATTATTTGTATATTATTTTATATCATTGTTTGAATTTTGTTAAATTAAATATTAAATATAGTTTTTAAAAAAAAAAAAAATTTCTTAAAATGTGTGCTTTTAACTAAAACATTCTCGGAGTATTTTTTCAATATTTTCTAACATGTAACGTTTATCTTCGTCCAACTACCCATAATTTGGTATAAATTAGGCTGTTCGTTTCGTCGCCGCAACTACTTGCGGCAGCGGCAGCCGCAGAGATTCATGTTCGTTTGGTTGACGCAAGTAGCTGCGGCCAAACGCTGGGGTAAACGCAAGTAGTTGCGGCTAAAAATTACGGACACCACTTTAATTCAGCGTTAAATTGCGTTCTACGTAGAAAATGACCAAAATATCCTCAATATGTTTGAGAAATCACAAAACTCCTAACCCTAAATGCCGACAACTTCTTCTTCTCTCGATCTCGACAACTTCATCTTCTCTCGGCGATTTCGATCTGTTGGCGATTTCCAGCTTGTTCTCCAACGAAGTTCCTCCGTTCATCGAGCTTCCTCTGTTCATCAAGCTTCTCTGTTCATCAAGCTTAAACATCGACGGCCTCAGGTTTGTTCTTATGAGATTGATTTGCGAGTTGGGTTCTTTCTCTTAGATTTTCTTCTCTTGAATTCTCTTCTGTTTTGATCTTATGTTTCTGGGTTTTTGTTAAAGTTCTCTGCTTAGCTCAAATCGAAGTTGTTCTTATATGTTTTGCTCTTTCATGTACGAAGCACTCTTGAGAATCATTATTTTAGTCTATTGCTTTATCTTTATGTTTGACATTTGTTGTCTAATACTGTGTAATTGCTTCTTGTTAATTATGAC